ATACACACAGACACACACACACACACATACACACAGACACACACACAGGTACACAGACACAGACACACACACAGGTACACACACACAGAAAGGTACATGGACAGAGGCACACACGGAAAGTGTGAGCTGGTCAGGGAATCGGTCACTCGGGTCCAACACCTACAGTAGTCATACAAACAGGAGCAGCCAGAGCTCTCCACTGCATCAGAGAAGTGTGTTTCCGTTTCGACAAAATGAGACGCTCCTTCTCCTGCAGAGAACCATGATGGCAAGCGGCCTTTTGTAGCTATGGTGAATGGCACAGGCAGAGACTCGCTTTTCATTTAGTGCAAACACCATCAAAAAAAGATCCACATAAACAGCACGATAAAAAAGCTGCCTTTGTGGAGCATCAGGTCTGTAATTAACATTCCTAAATTATGAGAAGCGCAATGCTGCTTGCAGCCTGCAGAGCTTACAGCGAGGAGACCGGCTTCCATTCCCATCGGAAGGGTGACCTGCCAATGACAGCACAGTGACATACTACCAGAGAAAACGCCTATGAGAGATGACACTGCACTGGTACAAAGAAACCGTCCAATACTGCTTATCCCGAACAGGGCTGTGATGAGCCTGAAAGAACAGGGTACAGGGAACAGGAGTCACCCTGTGGGGCACGCCAGCCTATCAGAGGACTGAAATAAAAGCAACAGAATATAACAAAAAAAAAACAGTTAAACAGACAGGCCTTTTTAATGGCTGACATCAATGCAAGGTCGAAAATATTAGAAAATATTCATTTATAGGCAAACTGCATTGCTCTTGGTGTAATATGCTCATCCACACCTGCTGGAGACGACGAACACAAGGGTGTCTGAACTGTTAACATTGTCATTTCTTGTGTCAGTGTGAAGGGATGAAGAGGAGAGTTGGGCGGGACCTAAGGGACCGGAAGAATTGTTCAGTTCAAATTCTGGAAGGTGAACTGTTGCTGAACTATGGAAGTGCAGAGCAGACCCTCTTACATGAGGCAGACCCTAACCCTAACCCTAACCCTAACCCTAACCCTAACCCGACTCAATTCAGGAAACATCAGCGGTCAAGAATTTAAGGAGTTACGAGTCACACAGGATCGAGGCGTGTGAAATCAGATTTCTGTACAGTCCTGATCAGTAGTAATGAACCTATAATGTCCTAAACAAGTGCGGCTCCAACCTCACTTCGCCTTTGAGTAAAATTAATTTTACTGTTGAGAGTGAAATCCGCACAACATTGCGGGGGAAAAAAATGAAAAACGGTGAGAGTCGCTGAAAGCCGACATTATTTTCCACCCCCATTGTGCCGCCCCGTAAACTGACGTCCGTCCAGCCGCTCGTAGCTTCTCCCTGAACCTTGATTCCCGCACACGTTCGCGGGCGCGCGCCGTATCCTACGTGGGCGGAACCCGGCAGCGGGCAGAGCTCCTCACGCCGCACCGCGCGACTTGGGGGCACGGGGCTCTGGCGCGCGACAATAGCGAGCGCCCCGCTAATGGACTCCTTTTCAGGATCAACCGTGTCCTGCTAGCGGGAGCATTCAGCCATTAATTAAATATTCTGAATAATCTTTTCAGTGTCGCTTAGGGCAAAAAGAGAATGGAGAAGCCCAATAATCCAGTGTCTATTGACGGAGAGATGAGAGAGAAAGACAGAGAGAAGAGATGGAAAAGTATTCTCGGTCCGTAACAAGCTTTTCTCATTATTTAAACTGTCTTTTGTCCCCCGCCCGGCTGACTCTAAATTGCAGTCGCTCGGGGGAATGTGGGCGATAAAAGCCTGCTTCTCTCCCACACGCGGTAGGTACTGCATGAATGTTAGCCAGCAAATCAAATGATCGGCCAAACCATTAAGTCTATATTGAGTGTTATTACCACACATGTGCGTCTTTGTGCGAGCCGGCTTTTCAAGGGACCCGAAATTTAATTAAATCCATGTACTTGTTGAGAGCAGGAATCAGCTGAGACAATAGCTGTCGCCTATTCGAATAGATAAATGTCTTTGGAGTTCATGTGATATATTACATTAGTGTCCTCTTAATTCCAGTGCGTTCTGTGTCTATTCTATATGACATAATAAAGAAATTAGGCGTTATCTGTAATAAATTAGTCCTTCGCTTCTGAGTCCTCATAGGTCTTCCCAGTGATGCCTAAGTGCAGGACAAAGGCCGATTGGAGGCCTGTATCTTTGACTTCTGGTCCAAAGAGAGTTCCATCCACCCCCACCCCCCCCCCCCCCCCCCCCCCCCCCCCCCCAGCTAAGCCCAGATACATGACTGACACAAGCTCAGTGTGTGGATTCTCAGTTTACACATACACTGGATGCATGATTCAGATAATAAGCGAGTATTTTCTGGCCTCTGAAGAGTTCTGGTGAACTGAAATTCCACGGGAGAAATGGCTGACAATTCTATCAGAAATGTCAACTGTAGTTTGACATTCTGTGTACATGTTCCAGTGCCATATACGTTCATGGTTGGGTATCTGAATCTCACCTCTGCTTATCAGATTTTGCAGGGATAGGTGAGGAGCAGTGGCAGATAAACTGGGTTTGTCTCCTGTCCATCATTTTGAGATCTGTGTAATCCAGGTGTTTTTTTTTGCGAATCTCTTCCCACTGTGACCCTTAATGCCATCCTGATGCGCACCCAACAGGTGATTCCTTCAGTCCTCACACACGCAGCAGAGTCTATTATTCATTTAGTTTTATCCACCAAAATGACTTCTTTATCTTCTGCGCTGTGATGAGCCAATCCCTACCCCATCCCCGTGCCGCAGGGATTTGTTCACCTCTGCAACCAGATTAGGTGCTTCATTAATAGAACGGACACTCATATCCATAGAGAATCTCCAGCAGCTCACACCGATGTGTCACTCCTAAGTGCTCTGACAGGGTCTCCTCGGATAAGAACCAATGACCTTCCTTAGACTTGGCTTACTTCCAGCATCATCCTACTGTACATGCACCTAGTAGCCCACTCACCAGGATTGAAGAGGACGAGGAACTTGATGCAGGTGATCTCCCTCCGGTCCACCTGCAGTGACTGCAGCTTGCCCACCAGCTCTTGCCCCCTCTGGACCAGGTTGCTCAACGTGGAGCCAGCCTGGGCAGTGATGGAGGCGATCTCCAGCTGGAACAGTGACGCACATGTCACACGCACATACCCCAGCAATATGTATTACTCTTATCACAATAACAATGACACAATGGAACACTGACAGTTCCAGGTCTTCCATTTATGACGACATCATCTGAAGGAGTTCGCATTCATCCTGAGCCAGAGTCGCTGCAAATTCTGGAAACTCATTCCATTATTTCATTTAAAACAGAAAGAGCGACCCTAGAAGACAGCGACTGCCACCAGTGCCAGGATCTTTGCTGCTCGGTTTGAAGACCTGACGGACCTTTTGAAACACCTGCAAGCCCACCTCTACATACTGGGCTCCCTGCTTCTGTCTGTACACAAACCTCGAGAACTTTTAATATTTCTTTAACTCTGTTCTGCACTTGATTCTGATCCAGACCATGGATAACCGCAGTGTCGTCTTTTGTGTTGGAAACAGGAGCTGTCAGCTAACAGTGACGATAAACAGAGGAGAAGCCACTTTTTGCAGTTTTCTCCTAAAAGTGTTTCTTGGCAACCTCTAGGGGCTTTTTTTAACAACAGACCATTGATTTTGTTCAGTTAAAAATTTTGAGGAAAAGCTTTCAAACATAAGCAAACAAGAGCAAGCATCTGTATTGGTAATTTTGCATTAGGGGGGGCTTTCCTCCTAAATACTCCCAAAATTACTCCCAAGATTATGAGCACATGACAGCTGACTCCTAGCAACATCATTGGATGGTTCTAAGTTCTGAATTTGCTAGGCTACCAAGAAATGTTCTACTGGAGGAGTAGTTGCGGGCCATCTTGCCTGCATAGGTGTGTGCGAGTTTACATGCTTTTCCTCATGTCTGCATGTGTGTCGGTGGCTCTGTGGGACCCTCACCTCCTGGCCAGTGACCAGTAGTAGGCTTCCCTCTTTGCCGTGCTGCACCTGCCGGGACACATGGTCCAGCACCAGCAGCTCACTCCAGCAATTGTGTAGGAGCTTCATTTGGTCACCCACCTGGCAGAATAAGAGTAGTTAGCACTAAGCAGAGGAAGAAACTGCAGCCAGACTGGATGGAAGTGCTACTCCCACCATACTATCTTCTGCAGAACAGGAGTGCTGAATGCAATGTGTGATAGTGCAACATTCATAGGAAAACAGACAGATGTGTGTCCCAAATAAATTAGGTTAAAGGGAATTTGAAGATAAGTAATTCTTGTTATCTATTTGGCTATTCTTGTAATACAGCTTAATGGGTACAATTCTATCCATCCATCAATCCATCCATTCATCCATCCATCCATTTCCTGTAACCACTTGTCCTATTCAGGGTCATGGTGGGTCCGGAGCCTATTCCAAAGGCTGTGGGCATAAGGCAGTGAACATGGGTACAATTCTAGCAACCCTTAAACTCTGCTCTAAAGTTAAAGAGGAGGTGAAATCTGTTATGCGTAGTAGCTTGACAGTTTCAGTTTATAATTACCCATCACAGAATTTACTTCTTTAGCGTCTCCTTTTCTTCAATAGGCCTAACCTCAGCAGAGGCATAAATGTGTTTGCTGGCTTGTTCCCGGCTGCATGTCTACAGGGGAGAACTTACATCTTCAGTGGGACTTCACTCAGGGCTAAAGGTTAAATGGCAAAACACACTAGAGATGTAAAGAATTGTAACACTCTTTTCATTTTAGGGATCATGAAGGACACTTTGTAGTGGCTACCTGAGCCTTCGTCATCCAAATCACTGTATTCCGGAACACCACAGAGCTTCCATCTCTTTGTCAGGAGCCCTCGTTGCCATGGGAGGCACCACCGCGGAATATTCTGGGCAACGTTTCCTCTACAATAAAAGCTTGAGCTTCTCCTATGCTGGGTTGCAGAGATACTCCAACACACGGCTCTCAGAGCCTTGGAGAGGACAAGCACAGTCTTGGAACGGCTGGAATAGCCCACAGAAAAGCTTTTCAAATGAAGCAGAATACCAATAACAGAAATACATTCTTTTTATTGGGTTTATTCCTGCCTGTGTGTTTCCACCCTCAGAATCTGCATGCTCAAATTGCCTGCCAGTACAGTGTTACCAACGAGGCTCCATCCGTCCAACACGCCTCTCCAGGCAAGCTCAAGGCTATACCAGAAATCTATTAAAAAAAAATGTATATCTTGACATATTCCAGAGGAAACATTGGTAATAGTAATGCAGGTCCAGAGAGTAAAAGTCCAGACCAAGTTTCAACCAACCAGTTGAGTATAAAGAGTCACAGTCACAGACAGAGTTGGGTAATTCAGGTGCAGACAGTGAAGGTCCAGACCGGGATTTTGTTTAAACCAACCAGTTGCGTACTCTGTGGCTGGGACTCTTTATGCTCAACTGGTTGGTTGAAACAAAACCTTGGTCTGGACTTTTACTCTCTGGACCTGGACTATCCACCTCTGCTGATAATACTTATGATGATGTAGAATGCACACTGAACACAGACATGGGGCCTAAGGGGGGGGGGGTGGTGGTTTGAGTGGTGGTAAATATTGCCACTGTGTTTACATTTCCACCGACATCTTCCTCACCCAGTGCCAGCACAGTCTCCGGTCGCTTTCGCTATCCTGATACAGCAGATCCCAAATTCACACAGCACGGCATTGACGGTGTGCAACACAATTCATAACTTGTTTCCTTTTCTTGATTTGCGCCTCACACAGGTGTGTCTGGGACGCAACACTGGACCCATTGTGTGGGTCTCTCAGTTTCCAGCAAGCTCGCTTCCACTGAGAGCGGACAGGGGGGTGTGGGTGGGGGCAGAGAGGTGACAGACCAAGGTCCTTGGAGCAAGATAAGACCAGCTGATGCCACCACATCGCTTGACTAGCCGCTGTAGCCCAACCGAGCAGCTGCCTCTAACTGTCATGGTTTAGACTCAGGTTGATTAGCTGACTAATTAATTAGCCAGTTAACAAGCTATGGCTTATCTACTTATATGGGTGGGTGAATGTTCGGTTAGGGTCAAACTAATTATGAATCTTGAAGATACAACTGAAGATAACCACGTGGGGACCTGTAGTGCACTTTGTCACTGAGACGGTCTTGTGTGTTTGCTAAACAATTAGCAAATGTTTATGTGTCCATTAATCCTACTGTAGAAGCAGATTTGCTCAGGCAGGGATTCAGAAGTGTTGAAAGTGTTGAATCAAAATTAATATTTATGTAAGACCTACCAACCAGATAAGCGATTCCTGCCGTCACTGATTTATTAACTGATATTAATTACTAATTTAAATGTCGACCGTGGTGTATTCAGAGCAGTACTAATTAACATCGTGCAAAATGAACACAGAACAAAATAACTGAAGCGTGCATTGCCTAGCCATACACCGCGGGCGGATACGAGCCGTTCGGGTTTCATGTCGGGAAAGGTGGCATGAAAGAACGAGCCACTTCCATCTCCTTTCTAAAGCAAAAAAAGCTCAGTCCCTTCTGACTGTACGCGTAATTTAGGAATTAGCTAAACCGATTTGGCGAAATTCAATTCAACGATCCCAAATGACTGAAAAAAGTTTGATTGAGATAAAAGGGGACGTCTTAATTGTTATAAGAAACGTATAACGGCATTTAAAAAGAGCGATGAATATACTTGAATACTGCTAATATCGAATAGGCCTACAACGTTATACTGATAGACTGATTCACTTTTCCTGACTGTACATCCCGGAAAGCGTTTTATGCATTAATAAAAGACACGTATAGAAACAGTGAGGGAAACGTAAGTTATATGAATAAATTGCCCCAATTTTGAAAAAAAGATATAGATTTAATAAGCAAATCTAATAAACTAACTATAATTAATAAACTATAAAAAGCAGTTAATGACTTTTTCAACGTAATGACTTTTGATATTAATTATAGTTGCAATTCTGTGCTCTTAGCCTATATACACTGTGAAGCCATTTTAAACATGGAGTGGAAAAAATAATAAAACAATTTTCGCTAGTTGTTCTTATTGTGTATAATGAAAAAAATGTGCCATAAATGCAAAACTGGTCTAAAACGAGAAAATGCGACGTGAAGAGTTCATTAGCCTAAAAGTAAGCCATCCAGATACTCAACGGTGTAAGAACTCAGGGTGGCGTGTTTGTTAGCGGTATAACGTTAATTTCGTATGCGGGAGCTCTGGCGTAGCCTATGTATATGAATTTGGTAAAGACGGAGTTAATGTTGTTTGACAAGATTTACTCCTATTTACGAAGATTTTTGTAGTGCAGGCACAATCAATGTACTCCACGCATATGAAATACTCCATAGATTCAAAAAGGCTAATTGTCGTGTAGTTATAATTACAAATCGCCCTAAAGGTGAAATTCGTATTATTTAGTACCATTATAGCAGCTTACAGATTAATTTCTTTTGAATTAATACGTTTTGTTAATCATATAGAACGATATGTACAAGTATATAAAATAAATATGAATAGAAACGTACTATTTATATATGTTTTTTTCCCGGTAACATCACACCATAATAACGTATCCGATCTTTTAAATGCATTCAAGGTCAGTTATCATTGTCGTTTCATACGTTTCTTACATAAATGAAATGACTCGTTACTTTTACCTTGTGGTGTTAATATCGGGCGACTGAGAGACCAGCCGATGCCTTTCATATATAATTAGGCCTTCGTGCTGGCCTCGTTTGTCGCTGGGTCACACAGCTGTCCACCAGCGCTACTTCTTGCTGACTGTAACTAGTCACCGGTCTCCGGCCGGGGGAAAAGCCTTACCCCAGGTCTCATCTGGAAGATACGCCTCCCTGCCTGTTCGCGGTGTGAACCTGCGCACTTCAGCCCGGGCTGAAAGCATCGTTTCGATAATGAACCCTATTTATCCTTCGATTTTAAGGGCGAGGTCCTTCGCATACGCTGCGGCCAATGTGTTCAGGCAGAGTGGACACACTCCTCCACCACACACACACACACACACCTCATAATCACAATGAAGTGTCCTGAAATTTTCATCGTGTAGTCTCCCAAAATCATGTAACCTACTGGTATCTTTTTAGACATATTTTATCAATCAAACCGTGATCAAAGGTTCCATTTCAACACTGGTAAGGGACAAGTCAGCCCCAAACGCTGCGCCCCCCTAAACACACAGCGCTGTTGGTAGGGGCTTGTTCCTGCCATTCATACCTAAACCTACGCCCTTGAATTACACTTATGCTTCTCATGACCCCCCCCCATAAAACTTATTCCTGTCAGGATCAAAACAAAACCCATCCGCATCTCCCTCTGAATTTAATAACTCCCCAGTTACGTTATGCCTGCATTTATATCCAGGCTCACTCCCCCCCCCCCACCACCTCACAGGTAACTCAGCTCAGATTGTAATAGCAAGAAGCCTAAAACATTTTTTCGTTGAGTTCTTTGCTTTCATCCTGTATACAACAATGAAAAATACAACAGCTGAACACCACTGGATTCACATTCCAGCCGTATCTGACATACTGAATAGAATTACCAGGAGCAGATGAAAAAAGCAGAATGTCTCCATTCTGTTTCACTCATAAAATGTTTTTCTGTTTGAAGCTTCATAGTCACACCAAACAAATGAGAAATCAGAATGGTGCACCATCTTAGCAAGGTCTTCCTTAAAATCTCAGCATGCAGATTACACATCTCTGATTGCCTTTAACTATTTAAACCAAATACTTTGCTTTTTCCCCATCCTCCACAAATACAGATTTAATCAGTTATTATTAAATATCAGATTCATTAAACAGATTCATTATTACTGTTAAATGATACAAAACAGGAAAATGAATCTGAAAATATAATTGTTTGGTGCAGAAATAGCCTCTTGACTACAGGCACTGGATAACAGATAAGAAAGATGTGGAAATAATTTCATGTTTCAGATGAACTACAATACTACAACTACAATAATGTCAAACCACAATACCGTCGAAAAGATGCTGGCAAATCTAGCAAATCATTTAACCAGTGAGTGAAATCTCTCTTCCAGCTGTTCTCTTGATGTGTCCAGCCTGAGCCCAGCATTAACCGCAGGCCCTTTGCGGGGATCATCCCCCTTCTGCATAAGCTGGCACCTTGCATTTCCTCCAGCCCTTTCTCAAGTACCAGTGAAGCCACACCACAACACATCACAACTCTGCCTACTAAAAAGAATGGGGGAAGGGGGTGTTAAACGAGAGGAGGACCCAGCCCCGATCCTCGAGGATGAAGCTCATGTCAGATCTGGAGAACATGATTTAATCTGCACTCCACTGACACCTGAAACACCAGGTCAGTTGACCCATTATCCAATTCACTGCTTCAGTAAAGCAAATAAGGTTGGGAGAGGGAACATCATGCGGAGCGCCAGGCTTCGGGAACATCATGCGGAGCGCCAGGCTTCGGGAACATCATGCGGAGCGCCAGGCTTCGGGAACATCATGCGGCGCGCCAGGCTTCGGGAACATCATGCGGAGCGCCAGGCTTCGGGGATCAGGACTGGCCAGTCTGGGCTTGAGCGCCGCGCTGGGAAGCATAGGCATAGGCTGTGTGTGGCAGCGCAGATAGAGCGCGTGCAGCAAGGCGTCGCTTCGGACGTCAGCGCTAACAGTGGAGAGTTATCGCTGGCCAAGTTAAAGGTTAAAGCACCTGCTAGCGCATGCTAATGCTTCAGCTACGTTTGTGGAGAGCCATGTTATCCCCCCTCCCCACCCCAGCTACAAACGAATAGTGTAAAACAGCTGTCTTGCCTTTGCACACCCTGGTTAGTACTAATAGGCACCTCTGGTGAAATATTTTGTTTATCATGATTATATTTGTCGGGCAGGAGTGGGGGGGGGGTAGGCGTGCCGTGGCTGCTCTGAGGTGTCCGCGTGCACACCTGGCTTCACTCTGAGCGCAGCGGACGCAAAACCGCAACCCCACAAGGGAGACGGGCTAATTTGCCACTGACTGTCGATTCTTTTTTTTCGAATGGTTTTCTGAAGACCCAGCTACGAACTTCTCTAGAAAATATTCATATTCTCTGCTTAAAACAGTGTGTGCAAATGGTAGCCCATGAAAACGGGGATTTTAAAACGGGGTGTTTTTCATGTACACATGGTCGACTTATAGAGAAAAGGTGTGTGATGAGAATATTATTCATTTTTAATTCTTAGAACAGAGTTTACATGGCTGATACGCCCTTAGAATCACTTCACAAACACTCTGCTGTAAAAAGATATAATTAATTGATATAAACTGCTGCTAAGCACTGAACTTCATATAAGGGAATGGAGGTCCATAAACATTTCTTCACCAAATAAAAATCATCCATAATTACAGATGGGAATCTGTTCGCTAACCTTCAGACAGTATTATTATCGGAATCATTCTCACATTCTGTGAAAATAAGGTATTCTAGATGACATATCATTTCATTACCCTATTTTTACAGCATTAAAAATCAGTCAGCAGGGCTGTGTTAAGTACATGACCACACACCCCAAACACACACTTCCTTTAAAGATCAATGACAAAAGTGTCGGACCCGATTACTTGCACTGAAGACGCTGTCTGACCTCTTCCCCTGCTGCCCGCGCCCTGCCACAGAGGACCTCTCGCTCATGTGAACCTCACGCTGACGGCAGCGAGAGCGCACAGCCGGGACTGTGGCCAGCCAGGGGGTTAATCGCCACACGCCCTCACACTGCCTGAACCCTTCAGCACCTTACGCTCCGTGTCAGCAGTCACTCTCCATGCAAGCACCACTGTCCAAGACAGTGACGTAATAACACGACCTCTGACCTCTGACCCAAACAAGTGAAAAGAAACTGCCCGGGGGTTTATGGGAAATATGGCCTGATAACAGCGTATTTTATACAGCACTTATTATGACTATACAGCACATCATATATATATATATAAATATACTGCATATGGAATAATCTGGACCACCCCCCCGCCCCTATTGCGATCACGTTCAGTTCTCTGCTTCATTTCCAGGACAAGCCTAGATATCCTAGCAAGTATTGTCAGAAATTGGGTGTAAATATGGCCATTGTGATATTTTGGCTAGTAACAGGTGTGCCACATTTGCTTAATTCCCACTGTCAAGCCTGCATCGAGAACATCGACAGTAACTAAGAACCCGGGGGGGTCTTAGTCATTTAGACCAGTGCTTCCCAGTCCGGTCCTCGGGGACTCACAGTCCATGTTTTTGCTCTGTCCCATCTCCCGGACAGATGGTCCTCATTTTTGCTCCCTTCCAGTTCCCTACCTGTGTGTGGGGGGCAGATATTGCTACCGGGGGGTGGGAGGGAGCAAAACTATGGGCTGTCTGGGGGTCCCCTAGGACCGGACTGGGATAAACATTGATTTAAAGGACGTGATTCTTGCAGCCATCCGTCAGCGAGAAAAGCGGAGACGGCGAGAGGTGTGAGCCGCTGCTGTTGCAGTGTCTCGGCTACCTTGAGCTCTTTGAAGAAGATGCAGCTGCGGGCCCACTCCACGATGGAGAAGAGCGTCTGGTCGGCCATGCGGCACATGAGCCCGAAGGTGCTCAGCTTCTCGTGTTTGCCGCGGCTGCTCTGCTCCTGCTGCAGGTACGTCATGATCTTATTCTGCACTTGCAGCTCATCCGGCTCGCAGCGCAGCAGGTCCAGGACCAGCTGGGGGATGCAGGGAGGCTGCGGGGATCCCGAGGGGTACACCTCTGGGTAGGGGTAGCCCACCAGAGACTCAGGGGAGCTTGTGTAGTGGTCGGGGAACTCGGACTTGATGGCCCGGCTGGAGAAGGAGCTGTACTGGTACTGGACAGGAATCGGGCCGTGGCTCTGCATGGTCATACCCAAGGGAGGAGGGGGTCCGTATGGGCTGCGGTCATAGTCTGTGGGCACCATTGGGGCCTGGGGGCCGGGCAGCATGGCCTTTGAGACGGGGTGGGGTCCCGGCAGACCAGCTGTGAAGCCAAAGTCAGTCTGCACTGGGGACATCAGGGGAGGTGTGGACTCCAGCTTGAAGCCGTTGGCCCGGATCAGCGCCTTCTTCTGCTGCTTCAGGGCCCTGTCGCGCTTGTACATCGGGCCGAACTTGTTCCTGCCCCCTCTCATCCTGTCGGCCCGGACAGCTGACGGAAGGAAAGACAAACAAGGTCACATGGCCACGCAACTCTCACTTTTAATTGGCTGCCAAGGAAAGCGAGAGCTCAAAATAGACAGCGGTAGTTATTCATCACGGAAGGAGTGCAGAGCGACATCACCCAAGGATCTGTTACAAAACAACATTTTGGAGTTTCTTTCCAAAGATAACAAAACAGCAAAAAAGGAGAAAAAACAGACTAACTACTCTTAGCACATGTACCCTTTTCATTTTTCCTCTTTCATTTTTGAATGAGAATAAAAACAGTAAAGCTATCATTAAACTTTTTTCACTGGTCTCCAGAAGGCCTCCCCTCTTTCATCTTGTTATCCGTTCAGGCCGGCCAAAGCCAGATTCCCAGAGTTTTATCAGCCAGTTAAGAATGCGTCGCTTCTCCGCGGAAGCAGGTGCTTCTCTGCATCTCAGACAGGGAAATGCATACATTATTTTTGCTCGTGTATTCCCAAACTTAACGGGGACACGTCCGCAGCTCATGTTTCCCTTCCTGCGGCCTTTTCCTTAAACAATACAACGGCCTGTTCTTTTTGAGTTCGCTCCACCATCGTAAGATGTAGTAAATTTTATTAAAATATTACGTTAAATATGCACTATTACTAAATGTAATGTGCCATCATACGTAGGTGCCCAAATCATACCTACAACAAATAATTCTAGTGAACCACGTCGTAGACAAATATCCCCAGAATTCCCCACGATTCCCCACGTACGCATGAGGTTACAGAAAGCGTAACATTACCATTATACCATTAAAGTTCTAAACAATGAATCGCCCACAATGTGAAATAACCAGTCCTATAGGAATCTACAGTCCAGAATTAGTGTTGAAATTTTTTTGTTATTTTCAGAAAAACTGCAGGGCAATAGTTAACTGGAACGACATTACAGTCCTAAAATACGCCTAAGAAAAAACGTCACCTGTTTTGTCATATAAAAAACTGTATAGAATTGCTGTAGTTTCTTCAAACCATCGATTTCTTTATCTAATAGGTCTGCTATAATTTTGTATTAAAAAAAAATCGACATTGACATCGGAAGAATTTATTTACCTTCTAACCTCATTCCGACGTTTAGGCATTTCTGGAATCGACAGAAAGGACATCTTTTCCTTTGCGTTTTGTCAATTTTACAGTCCTGGTTTTCCGCGCAAGTGTACCTCTTATTATTTTGAACAGTCCTCTTGAAAAATCCCTGAACAGAAGAAAATAATTAAAACCACAGAACAATTAAAATAGAATCATAAAAACAGGAATAGTATTTAGACGGCAATAGCAACAACATTAATAATAATAATAATAATAATAATAATAATAATAATAATAATAATGTCGTCATGCAAGAGCGTATCGTTTCTCTGTCTTCGAATACCTTACAACTTTCGCAAGTGAGCAGTCCGTAATGGTATCCGGAAACCTTATCTCCACACACGGGACACAATTCCTCCAGATCTTCATCATACGTGTAATCCATTACCCTCAAAGAAAATCCTAGCGGAACAGATAGACAGTGATTTACTAAAATCAAAGACTACCAATAACTTGAGTTCATTTAGGGACACGTCTATCTAACCGCTATATTTATTTAAATGTACATGCGCAATTGATCGATAGGTATACACTATAACATATTGTCAAGACACAAAATCGGATCAATTCTTGTAGAAAATTTGATTTTATTTTATGAAGGAACAAAACAGGTGTGCTACAAATATTAACTGTGAAGGAAAACATCTGTGTCTTCGTTCTTAAAATTAACAATACACAGATATTGCTCTAACTTAAATCGAGGTGGAATTTAAAATAAACAGTAGAATAACTACAAGAACTGAAAGTCTTACTTAAGCAAGATTAGTAAAAACAAAATATGTGTAGATAAATTATAGGCCTACTTATAACTAAACATAAATTAAAACATAAATTCAAAATAATATTTTACATGGAAAAATACCATATGAAAAAGGAAATAATAGCTGCCAAGGTTTTAAAGTTAAATTAAATTGTTTCGGTTAATTCGGTTATACGTTTACAAAATTTTATTACGCAATTACTAATTGCACAAAAACATGAGATATTAATATCTATACGATTTTCTATTCGAAAGATTTTCCTACCGTGTAAAATAACTACCTATGTAGATAAATAGCATTTGATGTGCAAACGAATCAAATGCGTAGTATTTTCTATTAATTTTGAAAATGTGTCAAAATTTGCATAATGCATTTATTATATTTATAAGTCTAGACAGTAGAAAATAACAGGTAACAATATGTTAACAAGGTGGAAAATCGTTACCTTAATGGTTGCCCGCGCTGTGTTCTTGGATAAAACACGGATAATTCCCTAAGTATGGATACGCATGAAAGGGAAGATAGTCAGAATGCGCGACGTCCAATGACGCGCTGGACGCTATTGGCATAAGCGGAAGCCGCGCTCTTGCTTACGCTTTAATACGGCCCATGTGCGCGCCCGCGAACGCACGCGGCACCGCCGCCTTTCCCCGGGGAGGGGGGGGGGAAAGACCCTTCCTACTGGGAGAAACGCCAATGAGAGACGGATGAGATCCCCTATGTGTGAAAGTCTGCTCACTTCATAGCACAGGAGCGTAGGAAACGCACCCACGTAATGGCGGAATCCCAGAAACATACCTACATGCAACACCTAGAAATGAAAATTACTAAGGAATAACATACAGTATCCATTATTCTTTGTTCTCCTAGACTCGGTGCTAGTTTTATTATTATCACTGTAGTAGTAGAAGCATTACATTTTGCTATTATTTTCGGCTATAAACATATATTCATATTTTATTTCTTTGGAATAGGAATATAAAATCGACAGTGGTGAGTGATTAAATGCTGCGCTCGCCGGAAAACTTTATGGAAGTTTACAACAAGTGTCAAGGTTGTGTTTTGCATATAATGTGGATATGTAAATCACATTACTTCAAGAACTGCATTTCTATCTATCTATCTATCTATCTATCTATCTATCTATCTATCTAGCTATCAATAATTTTCAAATAGGAAATTAGCACATCCGCAGTATTTGAATATCGCCTGTGTAATAAACATTGTAAACATTATTCAATATCAAGGAAGATAAAAATCGAAACGTAAAAACCCAATCGGGCGCCATGTGTGGAAGCCACTACAAAATAAACCAATGCGAAGGGCGATCTTAAAAGGTTACAGCCCGATTCGCGGTGAAGGCCGTGACCACCGCTAACAGCAGCGTATCTCGTTGCAATGACAGCAGACCGCATTAATTGGTCGAAATATTTATATTCGCATTGTTCATTTGTGCAATTATCGAAATCTGTAGCACTATAAACGAAATACTTAAAAAAAAATTCAAAGAATCCATTTAAATGTTGTTTATAAGATGTCACATATAAAAAATAAATCATCGCTCATATAGGCCTATAACCTAAAATAAATGTCATGGAGTATAACTTATAATTTAAAACGAATGCAGCTCAGCGCTTTTTGGAATAACATTATGTGCCGCTCCTTTCATTATTATGACTGTTTCCGTCATTATAAAGGTACAGAAATTCAGGGTGCTGTTCATTGTTGTAGCCCACACCATACCGCTAACATCCCATTCATTTCAAGCAGAAGTTCCAAATACTTCCATTTCACAATGGAAATTACTCGGGGGAAATGTACTATTAAAATTATTGAAAAGTAATGTAAAACAGCCAAACAATTTTTCTTGTCAGCAGAACGGATATTTGGCCGACATGTATTAAATTGAAAAAAATGATTAAATGTTGCCTAAAATGAGAATACTAAAATGCGCACAAAGCGGTGTGTGGTAGGATCAGATTTATCTTTTTTGTTTTTGTAATGTAGTTCTTATATTATCTGGAACCATTCATCACCAATCAACAAGACTAAAATGAAGTATTCACTCGGTTGGGGGAAGGTGTACTCATGGTAGTACGAAACAATGAAACAATGTACAATACTTCATTATACAGTAAATAAGCTGCAACTATAGTATAGGCCTAATTAAGTTATTTCGCTAAAAATTTTGAATTCAGTTCAACACTGTCAAAGTGCATTTTAACGTTTTGCAGGGTGATTATTAGCCTAATTGATACCCTTACAGGTTAATGCTTTATGTACATAATAAGTTGATTTAAAAAATATATAGATAAGCATAATTGGACAATAACAAACTTTTAACGTGTCCTGCTAATTATAATAGACGCCACTCGAGTAGCATTTGTCAGCGCATCACTGTATACATACATAGAACAATTTAAATTTTAGGAACCAACAATTAACTCGGTGAAATATAAAGCTTGCTTTATTAGTTTATTCTGTAAGTTAGACATGTCGTGATTTACGTTTTGTTTCAAAAGTATTTGAATGGTTGAATTATATGCCATGTTGCGTCTCAAGTTTACAAACATATTTTTGTCCGATTTTTACTGCGTACAGAATGAATAAAAGAAAATAACACAGAAATCTCAGTATACAAGAAATCACGCTACATACCTTTGACTTCGTTGTGTTGCGTCAGGCTGGATTCGGAAGAGGCCGCAGCAAAGGACATTATAAAATACGTCCCTCCAGGTTTTCGGATACCTCGTGCCAATCTCGGCAGGGTCAATTATTTTTATTACTGTTATTTTTAATTAAAAAAATATATATGCAGGGGATGTAAGGAATTATAAGTACAAAGAAAGAAAGCGCGCCGCTGAGATCCAGATGTCTCCGCTGACCGCTGGGAAGCTCCTTACTCCCTTTTTCTCTTAACTAAGCGTGTGGTCGCAGAAGTTCTGATTGGACATCGAGCTCATGTGATGAGGCCGTCGCTCAGTTCACTTCTTAGAGAACAGAAAAGTGAATTCTATGTAAGTCTTATTATGGAGAAGTTATCGATCGCTTCGCGTTTTAACCCTCATGTCTAATTATTAAGGGTACGTTTCACCACACGCAAATCTATTGAGATTGCCGTGTTTCCCTAGCGCAAATCTTTTACAGAAACACGGCGACACCTGTGTACATAATACTGCAGCCCATATTTCTGCTCACGCTTAAGAATAGACTGGAGTCTTGACTGTTGTGGAATTTCTGAAGAAGTAAAATAGCCGAATTAATATTTCAACATAACTATTTTGACAGCTGTAAGGCACGTATTGAACCGATCATAGCTCTCTAAAGATTTAAGAATTTCTCCATTTCTGAAAAAAAAAAACAGTTACAATAATTCGCCCTAGGTATGATTCAGATAATCAAGTGAATAATTGAAATATGTACAGAAATAAATAGGCCTACAGTGATATGAATGATGCGAAACTATTAGCTTATACATCTGCGATGAATACAGATTTAAAACTATGTAACTGCAAAGAAATGATGCGTTTGAGGGGAATCGTTACCCTGATTTCCCACCATGCACCAGCATCATTTTATTTCGTATTGGACGCCTAGTTAACGATTTTGCATAGTTTTATTGTAGTTTTATCCACATCCCTTTAATTCAAATTAACCAAACGTCATACCTTAATAACCAGAAAAGTCGTATACCCTTTTAAGAAAAATAATAAGCTGGTATTTTTGCATCTCCTTTTAAATTTGATTTTCCGACATCCACCGTCTATACGTTCAAGAAATTGCAATTCTTATACTTGACAGTTTATTCTGAACACTTAAGAAATAATAAATTGACAAACCAAAATAATTACGTTGATTTGAAAAAATTCCCATTAATTTACATAGTTATTGTAACGATAATGCACGTATAAGCAAAAAGAGACAGCAAGCAATGCGTGAATTCCAGAGCGGTCAAAAATATTTACAAAAGCTAAAGAACCATCTTAGTATTCTTACAGCACATTTAATTAGTAGATAAGCTGAAAAAATCTATATAGTGACAGCTATTTTTGGGCAGTTTGGTTTAAAAGCAGAGATGAACAGCGGAAATTACAGGTGGCCTGAACTGCTGTGCGCATTTCACACAGATTAAGTCAACAGCAAGACTTAATGACGGTGATCATACACCATATTTAATAACTGAAAACGAGGGAGCTGACCATGGCCCCGGTGGATGAATGTTTCCACGTTAATTATAGTGCATATTGTTTACAGGTGAAACAACAATTGTTCGAAATTATTATCACACACAATTAGGCAATTAGGAACCTATTCGGCGTAGGAACCTGCACAGCTCTATATTTGTGATTGAAAGAGACATGTATGGATGACCGATAAATTAAGGAGAAATTGTTACGGTCCAGTGCCAGGGGCTGCCCTACCCTGTTTTCATTATCTCCTGAAGAACCAGTCGGTCAGTATGGAATGACTCACGGCTAGGAAAAATAACTTTACTTTCCTACGCATGGATCATGCAGCAGAAGATAGCAATAAAGATACTTTAACTTTCACTCTTTATTAAAGAAACATTAAAGAAAATGTGTGTCAGAGCGATATCATAGTCCGCCGAAAGTGTCAGCGGCGCTACATTAGATAGCTGAAATTGTCAACCAACTATTCTTCTCCTGCTGCCATTGACACTGACATCGGAATTTGATAATGCCAAGCGGGCCGCACGGAGAAAAATCAAGGTGACGAAAGGAACTTGACACTGGGTGGGAGAGACGCAGAAAGCGCGCCGCACAGAGGCGCGCGTGAGTGACTATGCATCGGCGCCGACGGCACGCTAGCTGGAGAAAGTGCAGACTTGTGACAGGCAACAACATTTCTTACTTTCCGCCTGCAATGGTTTTTCGGGAATATGATAGATGTCAAACTCATTTCCTAGTCACAGCGTGTACGATGCTTGTTTTGAGGTCAGGTGTTTGAATAGAATCTACATATAGGCGTAGATTCCCAGCATGGCTAACAAACTGGATAAATTTGGTTGATTCAATTAGGTAGTGATATATCACACGGGGCCGGAAACAAAATATGCACGAAAAATGGTAAAATTGTCTGTAAATGTAGGCCTGTGGTGCTGTAGTACTGCATCGGGGTCGTGCACATAACAACGGGGAATATTTGTTTCCATTAATTCCTAGGTGTCGACATCATGGCATAAAAACGCGTGTCTTTGGAAATATCAGGGAAGCCCATTAACGCTCGCGCGTATGTCTTCGGTGGCCAGGATGAGGTGTTAGTACTCAACCAATCAGGAGTCAGGAGCCGCTGTAGTCACAGGAGTCTTTACAGTAGCCACAAAGATACAACCAAGTCTGGACACCCTGCAGGAGGCGGTCTAATGCTGATTCTACATTCTTATACACTTTTCGTATCTCTTGTCAGCTCTTCGTCACAAGGGACGCCCTAAGCATAATCTCTTCCTCAACCAACTGCTACCATATTTTTGTTCCTTATGGGGTTTAGATAGACCCCGCCCCTATGTGATGCGGCTGTCAGTCATTTCTTACGGTTTGATCTTGCCGGTGAACATAATTGTGAGGAATCCATCTGTACAAGATTTTTTACACACACACACACAGTTATCAGTGTTATATATATCAGTGGAAACCGCTTATAGTGATCACAGTTATATTGATCAACCGGCTATATGGAGCAAAAAGCTTGGGACAGAATTATTATTGTACAAATACTGTTTAAATTATTCGCTTACAGTAATCAGGTAGTCCACTTATAGTGCTCATTTAGAGTGTTTATAAACATGAAAACATACAAAAAAAATAGAAGTGTTAATAGTTTTTTTTTTCTTTACTTTGATCATCCTACTTTGCCTTGCATTAACCCGCCTGCTTCTGGCTAGCTACCTGAGGCTAATGCTGCGTGCACAGAATACATTATGGGGAAAAGAAACTCATTTTTCTCTCAATGACAAATATAGATTCATCAAAGCTTATGATAAACTACCAAAAACGAGCCATCTAGATGCAGCAGCGAAACTACAATAAGCGCTTTGATACAATATAACGTTGTGAAAATATAAATAATATAAATAAAATTGAACTAAATATTATTGTCAATATTGTACTGTATTCAAGCATATTTGAATTATACACAATTCAGAAATTTAATTTGTGCAGTATTGCACATTGAAAAAGTGTTTCAAACAGACCGTATTTTGAAATCGTCAATACAATAAAGTACGTAGCTTCGCAGTCCATTTTATTACATTATATTCATGTAATAAATATACAAATATCAATTAGATGGTAATCTGCCTGAGACATAAGAAGAAAAAATCGGTTATAATAATCGACCAGTTATAGCGATCAATTTCAGAACCTACGTAATTCCGTCACAGATGTTACAGTAGCAAGCTTGGATACATGGCTAGAAACTAGGCTACACACTACTTGTTTTATATGACATACAACATGACAACATCTCACAGAGCTAACATGGAGTGCGAATACATACTTATATGGTTACACTGTGCAACAGTTAGTGGCAAGCATTTTCTAGGTAAAGAATTAGAATTTAGATATCAATGGTCATTGTTGACACACCACAGCACACAACAACGAAATGTGTCCTCTGCATTTAACCCATATGTGACATCGTGACATAACAGGGGGCGGCTAATTCAGCATCTGGTGAGCAGTGCCTTGCTCAGGGTATCTCAGTGGTGCCTTGCTGTTCAGGGATTCAAACCAGCAATCTTTCAATTACAAGTGCGCTTCCCTAACCATTAAGTTACCACTGCCCACAGTTACCGTCTACAGGTTACTTTCTCTCTAAAGGTTACATTCTATAAGGATTACATTGTCTTCTGCAGGTTACATCTTTTCAGTATTGTCCTAAAGAATTTCTCTAAGTATCATACAGTGTTATACAATATACCATATATTATATGGTATATGCAATATTCCATAGCCACACGTCAAAAATTATATTGTTACGGCATGAAGAATGGCAAACATGAATCCAGATGTAACCTTGATCCTATTAAATGGGAAAAGGGACGGGCAAAATGTGTTAGTATTATTTAAAATATAATAATTATTTCAAATATAAAAGGCTCTTATAGCTGCCCGGTTTAATCTATAAAGAAAACTGTTCTTTGCACAAGCATTAGCCGGAGTTTGGAATATGTAAGGAATATTTATAGTTGAGACATTGTGGCAATTCCAGAAGGACTAGATTAAATTCTTTAGACGCTTAGTTGAATTGTCATTGTGAAGCAGCTGACCTCCAGTCGTCTTGTAGCACCCTCTGCGTTGACTGTAGTCAACGCCGTCATTCGCATACTTCAGCTTGAAAAGATGGGGTCTGTTTTGCCTTTCATCCGGAAATCACCGCTGTTTCAATGTTGTATTTTCCAGAAATGTATCAGTGCGGATGGTAGAGATGATCTAAGCTGCTTGATCATTAGCTAACCAATGGTCCATATATCTCTAACGATTTCAACAGAAACTAACACGGGGTCAGCACTGAGCGTAACACCCACGGATTTACAACGATGTGGGACTGCACATGCTATCCGACGAATCGTCATTTTACCATTAATATTTTCGCATGCGTTTAGAATTAGGTAGCACATAGCGCAGTTTAAATCATTACCATAAGCAGAATTAAATGTTTTAAAGTCATTTTTGGAAACTTGCACACAATCCATGTAATTCAATTAAGCGCACAATACAGCCTCAGACTAATGATCTGCGCAATAGTTAACGGCATCTTGGAATACTCGTTGTGATTTGTGCGTAGTAACATCTCTCACCATATGACCAGTTGTTAAAATATATATTACTACAGCTGAAATTCAAAGTCGTAACATGTAGTTTCATTAAGCACGTAAAGTGGAGAGTAATT